CCCTAACAACCACCCAAAATGGCAATGGAAAATGTCTTGGCTGTGTGAACGTTTGTGGTCATTGTCTTAATTATAATTATTTCAAGTGCTATATCAATAATCTTGAACTTGTCAGTGTTACCAATGTAGTTATGTAGTTACCCCAAATAATGAAATGTTTGAATGAGTGCTTTTTTTTTACGGAATGGTAAATTCTATTGTTACAGAGCTGCATGTATAATAATACGTAATAATATACAAAATATATATTTGCATGTAATTAATATAAAGCATTGAATATATTTAATGGATATGCATAAATAAATAAAGATGCAAAGACTTGTGGGTACACCAGTAATACCAAAAGATTTCTTTAATAAATTGAAAATTACTTTCTGATTTGAATGTAGTGTACGGGTTTTCCAGGGGTTGATGTTTCAAAACTATTTTCATAAATTTCTTTGTAAAAACATTCGTGGCTTTCCAAAATGCAGTGTATAATGTTTTATTTAACTTCGATTTCGATTTTAACTTCATCGATCATACAATTTCATGAAGTCACTTATTGTACCTGTTGCTCCTTAATGAATTCTAATGCTTTTCTTTCTCGTCTTCCACAGTTCGATGAAGTATCTAACCATATCCGATCACGCAAATGGAATGTAGGACAACTTGCAAGTATCATTTTGAATTTCTCTCTGCGAAAACAACGAGACGAGAGTTGTGTTGGTGACCTGTTTGACTACATCCTACAGTTGTAAAAAATGGAATTCTTTGCTATAAAAAAAAATGGTGATGATTTTCTTGCTTTACATTGGAATCTTGAGTACTGTAATTCCTCAGGGCTGAAATCGGATTTATTCAGATAATTATATTATCTTCAAGGGAGTTTATGAAATTTTAATTCGGATAAATCAAAATATGCTTTGTGTGTGTTGCATTTATAGCTGGAATGAGTATTTTTTCTAAAAGACGTTTAATTTACATACAGATTAGTCTGCCAATGATTTACTATTTTCTATACTCAGCTATAAATACTGTAAGGCTACTCTAAATAAAAAATTAGTTTGACGTCATTCAGCTTTTATATGGGTTTCATTACAGGTGTGTTTCTATGGTTACAATAAGACATTTTGATGATTTAATATACAGCACATGGAACTTTTAAAAACTTCACTCAAACACCAAATATTAAAAAATAGCTGCATTGAAACAACAATGAAATATATATATATATATAATGACAAAAATATCTGCATAATAATGAAATAAATTGCATGATTTCACCTCGGTGTGTTGAAGGATTATTGTTGTTGCTAAGTATAATCTCTACTTCAAATTTACAGAATTTCACAACAAGCCATGTATGTATCTGTTTATAAGCTCCCAACATGCACAATAAAATGAATTGATATTACATGCTTATTCATTTTCTAGTTGGATGTATTATCACACCGATCATACCATTCTCCAAGTTGACCAAATTGTTAATCCCCATGTTGTGAATGCTATTGAGTTGACAACGGGGAGACGTGTTTGGGGGTCAATCTGGTGTCATATGCTAATTGTAGTCCTCCAATAATCATGATTACTTCATCATTTACATGTAGTCATAGTTACCTAATTTTCCATAGCAACAAATACAACATTTGTAAAACACGTTTTTTTTTATACAAAATTTGAACACGTGCTGCTAGGCAACCTCCACCACTCAATGATGATGATTGCTGCTGACTAGTAAAAAAAAAAAAAACTTTTAAAAGCATTCCAAATTTTAAAAGCACAAACAAAAATCAGGCACTTAAGCTTGATTTCCATGGAAACAATACAAAATATCTTTGCAATATCCCCAATAGCCTAGATTTAGTGGTCATTTTGAATTAAAAATGAGCAAAATTTAGGTTGATAATTCAAAAACTAGTTATTCTTATTTTGGATTTGAGACGATCACAAAAAATAATTTGAAAATTCCCGGAAATTCCTGTCTCCAAAATCCTGATCTTTAACTGTGGGTGGATGACATTTATGCTAGTGTAATTGGATAAAATTCATAGAAAGTGACTAACCCTTAGCTGCATTAATTACATACTGCAATGCCAGTCTACATATATGCGTGATTTGTCTACTACTTACCTTGACCAATCATTGTTAATAAATTTGGTGCTGAGATCATGCAATCTCCTGCTGATTATATGTAAACTGGTTAATTTTAATGCGACTATAGTACTGTGAAATACTTTATTTTCGCTTGGAATTAATTTTCGCTGAAGGAATGATTCAGTGAAAATAAAATCCAGTGAATATACCTTTTTCCCTATATTTTCATCAAAAATCACCCAAAATGTCCTTTCAGTGAAAATTAATTCCAGCTAAAATAATTTTTTTTACAGTATACATGTATCAACTAATGAAGCAAAGAGTAAATTAAATTGCTGTAGCGATGTATTATTACACGACGAGTGCAGACAAATATATTTGAAAGTGTCTGCATTGTATTTGTGTTCTTGCACTGATTTTGTACAATAATAATGCCACGTTTCTTCAAGGATACATGTCAGTGTTGTTATGGTGTAGAACTATAAATGATATCTCAGGTAAAACCTTACACAGTTGCTCTATTGTCACTCTTGGCTATACGTTATAACAGTTTAATGTAACTGTGTCTTGTCAATGTTCTGTATTTTTGTATCCATTAACAAGAGTTGTCTTTCTACTAAAAAAAAATAAATCAAGTTTTAAGAGTGGGTAATCTTGCAAAGTAGTGAACCTTGTAACTAATCGTTAGTTCTTCTACTTAATAATGATAACCTGTGTAATAATGTTCCATTAGTAACACATTCACTTATGTAAATTATAGCGGTGTCTCTATGGTCAAAATGAATAATAAAAAGTATACAGCAAATGTGATTTTTTTTGGGTCTATATATGTGTTTCTGTTGGAGATATGCTTCTAATAGAGCAAATACTGTTAGTTTCTGCTGGATTTTGTCAGCGTTCGATGCGACATCACATACGACATCGGCTGATAGGCACATAATGACAATATTACACACCAAATATGGGCGTATGCTTTCTATGTTATAAGCATCACAATCTCACCCAGCGATTGCGTTAACTCTGCGTTCTACTTCCTGGACCCTCCAATATTAAAAAAAAGTCTTATTTGTGACAAAGATACACAGAATATGTTCTCAACTTTACTACGACAACTGGGACTCTCGAAACCACAATGCTAACGCGATCCCTGGCCTCGCCTATTTTGGCAGTAGTATTCATAGTTTGTTTTTTACCCACAATATACAATTTTGGTAACATTGTACAAATTGCTCCATCTCATTTATAACCTCATCTTACACCATGGTTTATTTGTTTGATCTCACTCACACTCACTCACACTCACACACACACACACACACACACGCACGCACGCACGCACGCACGCACGCACGCACGCACGCGCGCGCGCGCGCACGCACACGCACACGCACACGCACACGCACACGCACACACACAGGGTATATATATTAGAAATATGGTAGTCTCAAAGCGCTATACTCAGATCTGTCACGTAAAGATAACATTCACAGACTCACAGCTGTCAGGCTATGTGAAACGCATTATGAACTATCATTTTTATCAGAATAATATATAATAAGCTACTATTTGCATTGTTAAAAATGTTTGCGAACTGAATATTGGAGGAATTTATATTCCATGAAAGTTACTCTCTTAATAATGCACATTGAAATTTAACAGCTAGAAAACCTATTTGTTTTTAATTTTCACTCTTTTCATCACTTGGTGTATGATTTCACAAAAAAAATGTGTATTTTTAAATGATTGCTAGTTGCAACATTGACCTTAGATATGATTGCTATATGCTTTGCATTATTTAATGTTTTACAGTTGTCATTACTTGTCACATCCCATGTGACTACAATACATGTAAAATAATATTTGTATGTCTACACACAATTTTTAAGTGTGTAATGCTTTAATATTTCATTTTAAAATAATTTTTGAGATATGTACATTGAATTTTATGTATGCAGAAATGTTTGTTTTTATATATAAAATATTAATAAACCTTTATCAATTTCAAAAAATTATTGAAAACAACTTGACCAATCACAACGTTGCGCGGTGACAAATCATCAATGAATGATAAAACTTGCAAAGAATCATGGGTAATTGTCATTACATTACCAAATGGCTTCCATAGCCAATGGAAGTGTATTCTTTGAATTTGAATGAAATGTGAGGGTATATCCAGGGTG